TAGAAGGTCACTTGAAATTACTATTACATTTTGCAATACCTTAAAGTAAATTACGTCTAATCCGATCTTAAGAAAAGAACCAACTTTCCCCAGTTAATTGATATTCTTGAGTTAAGTAAAAACATATTTATTTTTATGAACTTTAAAAGAAAACAATAAGTATTTAGTGCACAATGTATAGAAAACTTAAAAAATATACGTATATACAGCTTTATTAATTATACATAATATACAAATGTACGTTTATTACCAAAGTGCGTCGTTACTCAGATTAAAGACTGCAGTCTAAACAATATTTTGCCAGCATCTGAGTCTATGAGGCCAGAAATAAAGGTTATCATATGCGTCTGCAAAAATAATTTATTTTGAACTTTTTCTTGAATTCGTGTCAGATAAAGATTTGATCAAATAATAAAATGTTTAGAATATTATTTTTCAGTAAAAATAATAATATATTTGTAAAGAAAGTACAAAGTGTACGTAAAACTTGCAGGGTTTTTAGGTTTTTAGTTTTTTTATGAATACATTTTATCCACATTAAAATAATATATCTTCCGGGATTATTAGTAACATGCCTTTAAAAAACTGAAATCTATTATTGAAAACTTTTTATATGACAACCATGAAACTTAGAATCTCCAAGTTTTTTTTGTGAATAAAAACCGTGACATATTTTTTAATTGTCGTTTAAAGGTTGGCTCCACATATCTTGACTGAATTTGAAAAATTACATTAATCTTGATTTGTTTTTTTTATTGGACAAATTAAAGCGATGTTGCCATACATACATCCTTATACAGGGTCTCCCAAAAAACATGGGAATTCAGTGACGAATTGGATATCGTCTTTGTTATGAATTAGCAATGTAATACCTAATTTCAAAAGCCATAATATTAATATGTCTGCTATAGTTTATTTTTTGAAAAGGGTAAAAGATGTGCCTATAATGTCTCCGCAAGATGACCAGTGAGGACGGACAAGTTTACTCTGTTTGTATACTGCAATTTTCTTGTTTTACGAAGTACAACCGTATGCAGTCAAAACATAAACAAACAAAATGTGAACATACAGACGAAATTCTTATAGATTACAGCTTTCTCAGTAGGTATCACTACACTAAATCAAAGAATTATTTAAAAAGACGATATCGAATTCGTCACTGAATTCTCATGTGTATTGGGAAACCCTGCATAAAATTGGCTAGTAAGTTGTCTGTTCGTATCCTCAATAAACTTTAACTGACCGGGGTCAATTTTATTGTGGCAACTCACATTCTACAGGAAAGGTTTATGGCTAGTGGAATAAAAAATTCTACCTGAAAATGAAATTTCGACATTTAATATTTTTAAATTCGCCCTGCAATTTAAACCGAAAACTTCGCGATAATTTTTAAACAATTGATAATGGCGACCTTCAGAGCACTGTTCAAAGCTTAATAGGTAAGGGAGTGTGAATCGCTTTAAAAGTATAGAATCATAATATCTTTACGATAGGGGAAAATATTTGTGATGCATTACTGCTCCGACTTTGTGACCTCGTAGGTTCTCAAGTTTAGATATTACGCACAAATATGCGGAGAGTACATTTATCCAGTTTCATAAAAGAATTTTAAAAACTTTTTTGTTCTTCCCAATTGCTCTGTAATAAGAGAAGTTAAGCATTTCATATTCTAAATTTTCGTGAAATTCACTTTATTTTGACGTGGAAACTATAACCTCTAAATTCACTTTATTTTGACGTGGAAACTATAACCTCGAAATTCACTTTAGTTTGACGTGGAAACTATAACCTCGAAATTCACTTTAGTTTGACGTGGAAACATAACCTCTAAATTCACTTTATTTTGACGTGGAAACATAACCTCTAAATTCACTTTATTTTGACGTGGAAACTATAACCTCGAAATTCACTTCAGTTTGACGTGGAAACTATAACCTGAAAATTCACTTCAGTTTGACGTGGAAACTGTAACCTGAAAATTCACTTCAGTTTGACGTGGAAACATAACCTCTAAATTCACTTCAGTTTGACGTGGAAACTGTAACCTGAAAATTCACTTCAGTTTGACGTGGAAACATAACCTCTAAATTCACTTCAGTTTGACGTGGAAACATAACCTCGAAATTCACTTCAGTTTGACGTGGAAACATAACCTCTAAATTCACTTCAGTTTGATATGGAATCTATTACATCTGTACTGAAGGAGGAGTTCAGATCCTAGTCAGTAAATTTACCCTTGTTAATAGTTTTGCAAGGCGGAGAAATGATCAAAAAAGTCTTTATTCATTTATTCTCTCACATTTACTCTGGGATTACATACTGAAAATATAACAATAATTAATTAGGTTATAATTACAATTGTTGTTTTTAATGAATAAGATTAACATAATTGAATAAATGTTATTTACCAAAATTAGTGCAGGAATCTCTAAAAAGAAGAAAAATCCTTCACTATTTTTTTCATACTGAGTGAAGGTTAAACTATACAGGTAGTTAGATAAGATAAGATATAGTTTATTGCTAAAAATACACAAAGTTATAATGTTACAGGCAAAAATCTGCAACTATTTTTATATTGTTTACTATATTTATGTAATTATAGCAATTAGGTGGAGATTAGCTATTTGCTGTTTTGGGTATTATCCCCACCTAATTAATATTAAAACGTTTTCAATATGATTAATATTACTAGGTTTTGAAAGTTTACAATAAGTCAGGGATTACTAGTTAAATTTAGAGAGACCGAGGTGCAGCATAACAAAATAATTGAATTGATTTTTCAGTTTTAAGTTTAGTATGTTTAACAGAATAAGATTAAGCATGTACAAAAATCTACAAAGTTCAATATTAATTTTTTGCAAAAATAACAAAAGTGTTTATTGCACTTTGAGATGTAAGCGTCAGATAACATTTCAAATAAACTTTTTTGAAAGATACCTAACGAGGCACTTCTTTTTAAATCAAGTGGCAGTTTATTCCATATGTTAAGAAGTGCATATGAGGGAAGATCTCCTAATAAGAATGTATTTAAAATGTCTATTTGATAGTTAAGAGATCTTTCAAAATTTCCGAGATTTTTTAAAGTGTTGTTAAATGAGGATGGTAGAAGGTTTTTCGTTTATTTATACATAAATGTTGCTTGATTAAATTCAGTCAAATCATTTAGCTTAAGGATTTTATACTTAAAGAAAAGAGGATCAGTATATAAAGCTGTTTTTGCATTTTCAATAATTCTGATTGCACGTTTTTGGAGCAAGCTAATTTTTTTCATTTCAGGACTTCTATTTCTCCCCCAGGCTGAAATTCCATATTCTACAAATGAGCGAAATAATGAGTTATAAATAGTATTCTTAATGTTACTTGGGAGTAGATTTCTTACATTGAATAATGCATGATGCTAAATGCTTTGTTTTTTTACAGCTTTAACATGGTGATTCCAGGTTAGGTTTTCATCAAGATGTATTCCCACCAACTTAAGGATTCATTTTTTACAACCAGCATCTATTCTATCTATTTCCTTATTTTCGATGAAAAGTTTAAGTGAGTCACCTACCAGAATTTTTGCTTTCTTTCTGAAAACTATATACAGGGTGTCCCACGAAACATGACAGTATGCAAGACGACTTGAATGTCGTCTTGATTTTTGATATAATTTGCTGCGTTTATTTGTCAACCTAATTTTATAAGTAAATTTCTAGAGATAATAATCACAAAATTTCCCTTGTCCTGCCATTTCCAAAATGTGGTCTGCCTTTTTTGTGCTTTCAATATTGCCCGAGATATGAAGAATTTCGTTCAGATTTCGACAATTTTGCTTTTATTTAACAAAATTGAAATCTGAACCAAACTCTTTATATCTCCGGTAATATTGAAAGCACAAAAAACGCAGACCACTTTTTGGAAATGCCAGGGCTAGGAGAATTATGGGATAATTGTTTCAAGAATCATACATGTTAAAGTAGATAGAAGACTAAATGTCACAAATAAATTCAAATATCAAAGACGACTTTCAAGTCGTCTTGCTATTGTCATGTTTCGTGGGACACCCTGTACTTTGTTTTACAGGCATTTAATGTCAGTTTATTTGCTTAGAACCAGTCTGCAATTTTTGAAAGCTCTAGGTTGGCAAAATCGTTAGGTTAGAATTTTTTTGAATTTCCGACGAATATTGTAATGTTGTGTCATCAGCAAAAAGTATGGTAAACAGTATTGATGCATTTGGAAGGTCATTTATGAGAATTAGGAATAAATAGTTACATAGTAAGAAATGTCGTCTTTCCATACAAAGAGTAATATTAAACTTATCAACATCGAAATTCACTTTAGTTTGATTTGGAAACATAACCCCGAAATTCACTTCAGTTTGACGTGGAAACATAACCTCGAAATTCACTTCAGTTTGGCGTGGAAGCTATAATCTCTAAATTCACTTTACACAACCTCGAAATTCACTTTAGTTTGATTTGGAAACTGTAACCTAGAAATTCACTTCAGTTTGACTTGGAAACTATAACCTCGAAATTCACTTTACACAACCTCGAAATTCACTTTAGTTTGATTTGGAAACTATAACCTCGAAATTCACTTCAGTTTGACTTGGAAACTATAACCTCTTCAGTTTGACGTGGAAACTATAACCTCGAAATTCACTTTAGTTTGACGTGGAAACTATAACCTCGAAATTCACTTTAGTTTGACGTGGAAACTATAACCTCGAAATTCACTTCAGTTTGACGTGGAAACTATAACCTTGAAAAGAATTTGAAGGTACATGACGGCAAGATTTTACAAAACTGGCAATAAAGGGTTTTAAATATATCATGGGCACTTACAGGGATATCCAGAAAACTGTAGAATAAGAAGACGACGTTAAAGTGAAGTGCATTTTATGCTGTTAAAACAAAAGCTTTATTAGTAAGTAATAAAGTCCTTTACGAGTGAGTTGGGTCTGTTTGCACTGTACAATTGCCGTGTCTCATGTTCATTGGACTATTTAAAGTCATAACTTGAGTCTAAATTTCGACTTCCTATTCCAGAGTTTTCTGGTTCTTACTTTATTATAAAAATGTAATCTCTAGAAATCTGAATCTTCTTCTAACCATCCATCCTCATTCTCTATCCAGGACTCATCCACCCAGTCATTCATCATCTCGTGAGTTACAGCTGTATCATCCCGTTTACTAAAACATTGAGATAGGGATGAATGAGGTTTGGGAAGATTTCAGAAATCAACGTAAAATAAACAAATTCAAAGGCAGAAAAATGGAACAGGTACAAAACACCTAAAAACTAAACACCCACACTTCAAAACACTTGAAAAGAAAGAGGTAAATGTTTAAAAATGAGCTTTTTAAATTCTAATGAGGTTTTTCATTCAAAGTAAAAAGTTCGGATGTTTTTTTACCTTTTGATGAAATTTAGGTGTTTTGAAAACTGCAAAAACATCTGTTCTCGTATATAGCCAATTAAAGAACGAAAAAATTGGAAAAAGGAAACAGTAAAAAAAGTTGCCAATGAAATGTTCATTTTTGAAATCTGTTTATTTAAAATGTCAACACCATGGCTTCACGATTTGATTTAAATCGTTTTTAAATAAAATTAATAAAACTTCAAAGATTTCAAAACGCTATTATGTTAAAGTTGGCTTTTTATGACTTATATTTTTATTCTAAAAAAACGATTCGTTACAGCACGTTTGTTTTTGGATTCCACATCCACTAAGCCAAAATATAGTCCTCGAAAAAATATTTAGGCAAAAAACGACACAAAAACGAATACACTGAAAGCACATCTTCACAATTAACGATAAACAGATATACATACAGAAAC